AACTGTCAAAGGAGTCTTGCTGGGGAACAGATTTCCACCTCAACCAGGTGGTTTGGAGGTGGCAAGTCTCCTCTCATTGCTAGCTCAATATCAAAGAGGACTTACTGCAAGAGACCATTTCAATATGATCCAGTATCTTAACACAGTTCCCCAGATGTGTAGTATAGAAAACAAAAGGACTTGGGGCCAGCACTGTGGCATAGTGGGTTAGACCTCTGCCTGTGTGCATTTCAGAGCTTTCCTGTATGACTAGAGTCATACAAAAATTGTAATCGTTCATTTAAAGATATTATTGCATGCATAGCATGTATTATATGTTATTACTTAATAGTCATTATTCACTCATTCTGCCTGGTAGATGCTATTTTAGCTAACGTCATGCTAGGCTCTGAAAACATAATGGTGAATCAATTACATGTACTCTGTTTTTCATAAAACTTAGAACATAATTGATGAGGTTGTTACTTAACAATATCTCTAAACATATACAATTACAGATTGTGTTGAATTCAGACAACTGTAAAAAATGCTTTAAAATGTGGGCCCAGCACAGTAGCCTGGCAGCTAAAGTCCTTGCCTTGCATGTGCCAGGATCCCATATGGATGCTGGCTTTAATCCTGGCAGCCCCGTTTCCCAACAACTCACTGCTGTGGCTTGGGACCCTGCACCTGTGTGGGAGATCCAGAAGAGGCTCCTGGCTCCTAGTTTTGGATTGGTGCAGCTCCAGCTGTTGCAGCTGCTTGGGGAGTGAATCAATGGACAGAAGATCTTCCTCTCTGTCTATCCTTCTCTCTGTATATTTGAATTTTCAATAAAAATAAATACATCTTTTAAAAAAAAGAATACCCATCCATTTTGGTCACAGGGCAGGGCTTCCAAAATATTCTGTTGGATGGGGTGACAAGTCCTCTGGTTTGTGCAGGACAATCTTTTTCCAGGATGCCTCCAAACACAACAGAGCAAACAGCAAGAAAATACCCATACTCAAATGTTAGCTCAAAAAAGCTGTAAGATACAGACCTTCACTTAGGCTATTCCTGTAAGATTTATGGGTTACTACCTCTTTTGAGTAGTGTAGAAATTAGCCAATGTGTGTGCGAGGGGCCAATTGGGGCAAAAAAAAAAAGGGAAGTTTGTGTCATTGAATGAGGGAAGAAGAACCCCCTTTGAAAGTAGCCTAGCATGTACAGAGCAAAGACCCTGCGCAGGCCCAGTCACTGTAGCTGAATGGAATCCCAAGCTTCCCCCAGTGACTTCCTAAGGGAATCTTCTCAGCCCAGTGCTGGCAGCTGGTATTTGGTTTACTAGCTTAGCCTATAAAGCCCAGAGAGGAATTTTACCAGTTCCTTGCCCAGAAAAGCCCTCTGCCCAACAAAATCCCATAAGTGGAGAGGGGGAAGAGAAACAGTGGAGCATGTCCATAACAACCTCAACCCGCATGCAGAAAGGGCGCTTGGTTCTTTGCTGAGATGCCCGCCTGATTTCCAGGTGTATTTTCATCATTAAACTTCACCAGCATGCTTACTGCTGAAAAAAAAAAAAAAAATCCATCCACGAGAGGAAAGAGTGGAGCTGGCTAGCTAGATACCATGCAAGGTATGTTTAGTACCAAAAGGCATGAAGCAGTAGAAAGAGCTTCAAATATAAGAGCAAAAGAAAGGAACAATACATTTAAGAGAAAGTTTCCCAAGAAGAAGCCGAAGCAAATGTGTAAGCACTGGCTTCTGGTCGAGGGCAGCTGCCTTAGCTGACGCATTAACAAGAGAAGTGAGGATGTGTGCTGATACACATCGCTTTGTAGATTGCGAGGTTTGAACAGGAACTGACACAATATGAGGCAGTGATAGCGAGGTCTGAACAGGAATTGACACAACATGACACAGTGATAGCAATGTCTGAACAGGAATTGACACAATGCGAGACAATGTCATCAGCAAACAGAGTCCCGTATTGGATGGTCTGAGGGTTGAAGAGAGTGGGGGTTTTAACTAATTATTTCGGAAATGCTCGCTGAACAGAGGAGGAGTGGTGACTTGCCAGCCTGAGTTAAGAGCCTGTAGAATCTGTCCTCTGGGGCAGATTCTAGCCATTTTTAGCTCCTTGACTACAGGCAAGGGAAAAGTGAAGGAGTAGGTATTAGAAGAAAAGTGCTGCAGTGAGCTAAATTTTTAAAGAGAGAAAGACCATGCTCTAACTGGGAGAAGAGAGAATGCATGATGAAGGAAGGAGATGTGAACTGGGAGAAGGCCGTTGCTGTGGGGAAGGCCTGGCCTGAGAGGAAAAGGGAAACACATGGATCTGGAGTAGATGCAAAGAAAAGCGGGAGAGTGGGGGACTTTTTGACTCAAGTGAAATTTTTTTCTGATTTGTCTAACAAACAAAGCAGGCCTTTCGAGAGCAGCAGTGTCTCATCTGAGGTTGTGAAATTTGGTTATGTGTTTCTGAGACCTAACAACCTACCCATGTCTCAGGCATTCCAAGCATTTTGGCTGTTGCATGGCTGTGTAAGTGGAGGACAAGTGTATAAGGTCTTTAAAAAGTTCAAGAATAGGGCCCGGCGCAAGTGGTTAAGGTCCTCGCCTTGCACGCCCGGGATCCCATATGGGCACCGGTTCTAATCCCAGCAGCCCCGCTTCCCTTCCAGCTCCCTGCCTGTGGCCTGGGAAGGCAGTCGAGGATGGCCCAAAGCGTTGGGACCCTGCACCCGCGTGGGAGACCCGGAAGAGGCTCCTGGCTTCGGATCGGCATGGGCATAGCATCGGCAATTGCGCTCACTTAGGGAGTGAATCATTGGACGGAAGATCTTCCTCTCTGTCTCTCCTCTCTGTATATCTGCCTTTCCAATAAAAAAAATAATAAAAATAAATCTTTAAAAAAAAAAGTTCAAGAATAGGGCCCAGCGGCATGGCCCAGTGGCCAAAGTCCTCGCCTTGGATGTGCCGGGATCCCATATGGGCGCAGGTTCTAAACCCGGCAGCTCCACTTCCCATCCAGCTCCCTGCTTGTGGCCTGGGAAAGCAGTCGAGGACAGCCCAAAGCTTTGAGACCCTGCACCCCTGTGGGAGACCCGGAAGAAGTTCCTGGATCCTGGCTTCGGACCGGCATAGCATTGGCTGTTGCGCTCACTTGGGGAGTGAATCATCGGACGGAAGATCTTCTTGTCTGTCTGTCCTCCTCTCTGTATATCTGACTTTCCAATAAATAAATAAATATTTAAAAAAATATGTATGTTATTAAAAAAAACCTGTGCATGAATTTAAAATGTGCTTTGCAGTGTGTTATCTGTTTATTCAGTTTACTAACAACTTTAGGGAGTATCCTCGTCATTCTCTCCATAGTCCGAAGAGAGGCGTCAGGAGGCCACAGACGCCTAACTTAGCTTGGCAGCTGTGAATTCCTGTGAGATCTGAAGTTCAATCTGAATTAATTACTAGTTACCAAGAATGAAGTACGTTATTCAGATACCTTGCAATTTACTTTGGTGTGGACTAGTCTGAAGCTGGGAGCCAGGAGCTTCTTCAGGGCCCAAGGACTTGACCCATCCTTGTGTGTTTTCCCAGGCCATCAGCAGGAAGCCGGACTGATATAGGACTGGCTAGCTGGGACTCGAGCCGTGCCTGTATGGGGTGCCTGCACCACAGATGAGGATTATCTTACTATGAGTGTTTAAGTAGAAATGCACTGAGAGGGACTGAGATCTGGGCAAAAAGCTAACTTGAAATTGTCTTGCATTACTCTGCTAACGCAAATTCCCTGGGAAACAGAACTGCCTAACATTTTGGCAATTATTAAATTTACATTACAGTAATATCTAACTTATTAAAACTCCTTGCAACATGGTTATCCTACCACAAAACCTGACTAGGAATAATGCTGTTATTGCAAAATTAGTGAAGCTTAAAAAGTGTTTTACTGGCTGTCAGGGACTAACAAATACTTTAATCACAAAAGCAAAACAAAGTGGCCTAAGCAGCTGGTTAGCAAGTGAACACATGAAGGAATAGATTGGACTGGGGATTAAAAAAAATTCTATTATTCCAATTTGGAATTCTTGGAAGTCTTATCTTTTTTGTGTGTGGCTTAACTGCTAATAATTAAATTATTATAATTTGGGAGTTCCTTTAAAAAAAACAAGACTTTTGAATTTTTTAAAATGAGTAGATATTCATTAATTATTAATACAGTGATAAATTACACGAGGGAGGCAAGGAGAATGTAAAATAGCATGTGCCTTTTAACGAAGGAGCTATCAAGCCACCAGATTTGGCTCTTTGCTTCCAAGAGAGAAATGTGAATCATTTTCATTGCTGTCCAGTAGGAGGAATGACAGACGAGATTCAGGCACTGGTGCACAGTAGAGCCACTATTATATGCGGAATTTCCATGCCTTTTCAAAATGTGTTTCGCTGGCTCTGCACACATCGGTCCCTCTCCCTTCTTAGCAAATAATGAAAGCCTGAAATTCCCTTGTCAGCGGTGGACCTCGGCTTTGCCTTCCTCGGAGTGGGGATGGAGGAGGTGTGTGGGAGGGCGGTGACAGGACACCCTGAGTCCCTCACATTTGTCGTTTCCGCACGTTCCTCGGCCGCCCCCTGCACTGGGTAAAAACTCCAACCCCCCGAGCCCCTGTCAGCCGCCCTTTGAGCCCCCTGGGAACAAATCCTCCTGTCGGGCCCAGGAAGACCTCGGTACCTCAGGAGCCGGGACCACATTCCCCACCCGGCCCCTACAACCCCGGAGACGTCACTCCGCTAGAGCCCACTGGGGGCGCATGCGCAGGCCCGGCACGGACGTTGCCCACCCCCAAGCATCCCGGGCGTCGGCAGAACGGTTCCCCTCAGGAAGGCCTGGATTCCTTAGTTGTCTTGTAGAAAACCCTACAACCGGCTACGTGGGACTGGGACACGATGGGGAAACAAGCAGCACTTCTGGCCCCGGCGCGTTCCCGTTTCCAACCACACACTTCCGGTTCCTCCACCGGTTCCGGTCCCGCCCTTTCCTTCCGGCTGGCTCTGTTCCGCTGCGGCTGGTCCCTGCGTCTTCTGCCGCTGGTTCCGCTGCAGGTGAGGGGCTGCAGGCCACCCAGACGCGCCGCCGGTGCCAACACCGTATGGCGGAGGGTCGGGCTTGGCTCTCCCTTGGCAGAGCCCGCACGGCGGCTTCAGGTGGCGTGTCGGAGGCCGTGCATGTCCTGTTCTCTGGCCTCGGCCCGGGGATGGCGGGGTCCGCCTTCACCCCAGGCCTCCTGGCCTGTTTCGCGGGCCCTGGTGTCCCGCGTCGTCATCCCCGTCGCCCGTCGAGCCTCGCCCGTTTCTCCCTGGAGTCTGCCGTGACCCTCTTGGTTCGGGGGTCCGTGGCGGTCCTGGGATGCTGCCCCATCCGGTCATCTCGGCTCACGGACCGTCCTGGCCCCAGAGAGGGCAGTTCCTCACCGTCACGGCTTTTTTTTGGCGTTGGGAAGTTCACCCCAGCCCAGCCTCTCGACTTTGTCGCCTCCACCGCTGCTTATCTTTGGTTGTGTGGTCTCTAACTTTTCTTTCTCAGGTTTCCAAGGTGGATAGCAGTCGGGAATGTTAGTTCAGTGTTGAGATAACCCAGTTGCTGAGCGTGGTGTTCTGTCACCGCCCCCCCCCCATTTGTGTTCCCCCGTTCAGCTGACCGGGCGCTGTCATACGTGTTACCGCACATCCTGACCCTGTCCAGTTAGTATTCGCAGCGTCCTTGGGAAGACAGAGGACCAGAAGTACAGTAGAGGAGTTGACTAGGTAAAGTCAACACTGTATGTGTTAGGCCAGAGAGCTCCAACTGGAACAGGTTGGCCCTAAAAGTGCTCTCTCCTGCTTGCTTTTGGGGGTTTGTTTGCCACCCCTCCTCCAGTTGTCTTTCAGTTTAAAAATCTTGAAGGCATGTGAAATGATTCAAGTACGACTGGATGAGAAAGAAGCTTAAATGTGACAACAGAAAAGGTCTTGCACCAATTCCAGAGGCCATGAAACTAGCTTCAGCAACTTTTAAACAGTCCTAAGGACTTAGGTCTCTAAAAACTTTGTGTTGTGTGTGCTTTATTAAAATGCTTGATCTTTTGTAAGGTTTGCCAACTTGGATTCCCACTCTGGCAGAGGTGCCTTGTAAGTTTTGTGTGATGCTTTGTGAAGCACAGAGATTCTGCTGGTTGAGAACTTGGGGAACCTAGAGCAGTGCCTCTCAGGGACTAGCACTCCCTGCAGAAGGTGGGTAGGGCTTGTTTAAAACAGGTTGCACGCGTCTTCTCTGCATCGCTCAGGATGTGTCTGAGTTACTGAGTAAAGGTGGTGCTTTTGAATGGTCCGAGGTCCATACAGGGAAAACCGCTAGTTGAGATGGGGCGTGACCAAGAGCACCTGAATTCCAGACTCTTGACTCTGCCCATCACAGCACACACTGTATTTGTGTTGGTTGCCTTCATAGAGTTTATAAATGATCATTTTTATTTCCGCCTCTGACAGAAAAGTGTTGTTTCAAGTTCTCTTTCAGTTTGACTTGAAAGTCCATTTGACTTTCTAATTGAAGAGCATAATATTTGTTAGTGCCCATTCTGCCCAAAATGAAATGCCTTGTCCTAAATTACTGTGCTTTGGTAAAGCATTCTTTAGAACAGGTTGGAAACATGAGTGAGGAAAGAGTGTCTCATGGGTTTATATTTGTATACATTCTTGGTAGTAAATATTATTGTTGTTCTTTGCTAGCAGTGAGTGTGTTAGAAGATGCTTTGCTGCCAAATTATCTTGCAAACCTGAAACTCAGAATTTGTGCTGTCTCTTGCAGTTGGTTATGACAGTTGCACAAAGAGTGCAGTTGAATGCTTGATCCAAGAAGTGAAAGTATGTGGGAATACTAATATTTTAAGATTAGCAAATCTGTTCCTCTGCGCCTGGCTGGAGGGTGAAGGAGCGAATGGAAGGTGCAGGCCTTGTGGGAAGATTCAACAGCTGGGTCCTCCTTCTGTCTTAGGTCTGTGCTTGGGGCTCTGTATTTGCTGATCTTTTGATGTTCTGGTTCTTGTAGATCCAGTTAGAGAGTTGTATCGGGGAAGAAGAAGTGAGATTTAGGAGACCTATGTCCGTGAGTCGATGACACAGCTTTTCAGAACTCCAGTTTTCTTCATTGTGAAAGAGGGAATACGCTGATCAGGTTAAGTGAGATTGCCTATGTAAAAACTGTCCAATTCATTAAGTGTTAAATAGTGGCTGATTATTAATTGTTTAGCATAGTGCCTGGAACAAAGTAAGTTTTCAGTTTTTACAATACTTACGTAAGTCATGTAGTACCCAGCATTTAAAACATTATGTAATTTAATCCTCCAAAGAACCCTAAAGAATAAGTTGTGGTATCATCTCTGTTTTGCAGATGAGGAAACTTAGACACTATGAGTCAGGCTAACTTCCCAAGATCAAATAGCTTGTGAGTGGGAGAGCTGAGATTAAACCTATGTAGCCTGGCTCTCCAGAACTGTACCATACTATTTCTCAAATGTTGAATGAATTGGAAGGTTGGTCATGAAGGATCTTGCTGTTAGCATATATCTGACCAATTAAAATAGGTGGGACAGGTAACTTAATATCGCTCCTAACAGAATAACAGGAAGAATCTGATCTAATATTAGGAAGTAGCAATAATGCTAGGCCAAGAGCAGAGAGAGTGGACAACTTTTAACTTGTAAGGACAAAAATGTAAAGTAGGGTTTAAATTGCACATGCTTATAAAACATCAAAGTTACAGGCTTGGCTTTTATATTGTCTATTTTAACTTGCTCAGTTTTCTTCCTAGGTATTTTCCCTGAAGGAAAACTGCTTACTCATATGCTTCAAGAATGGCTGTACCTATCATTGTAAAATGGGGTGGACAGGAGTACTCAGTGACTACACTCTCAGAAGACGATACCGTGCTGGACCTCAAACAGTTTCTCAAGACCTTGACAGGGGTGCTGCCAGAACGCCAGAAGTTGCTGGGACTCAAAGTTAAAGGTAATTTTTTTACTACTTCAGATTTTTTGCGTTGATACTTAGGAATTTTCTATTTGCTGTTTCTTGTTGTTTTCTTGCCTTTTCCTTTGGATATTTCTTTGGTGGGGATAGTCCTTAAATTGCTTTAATGGTAAAAGTCAGGGTATTAAAGTTTGCTTCAAAATACTCTTACTATTAGGATTACTTTTGATTCCTTTGACACTGGGTGTTTGTTGTAAACTTTTGCCATGGAAATCCAAGGTGAAACTGTCATTTATTTTCTGAAACTGTCATTATTTACCATTTAGCACAGTGTTTTCATTGGGTTTTGTACACTCTCTAAGTTAACTTGTAATGTATCAAAAATAAAGGTGATATTTAAAAATTATAAGCAGTGTTTATATCCAAATTTTAAAAGGGACTTTTATGGCGTTTGCATTTGTTATGTCTTTGAAGGGTGAGTTTTGAGTAACTGTAAATCTTCAGTTTAGTGTTGGGCATTCAATTCTCAAGGCTTCTTGGAGTGTTTTTTTTCCCCCTTTTATTTTAAACAGGCAAATAAGCTGAATTTTTTTATTTATAAAGGTAGTATTCCAAGAAGGAATGGGAGGAGGGGAAACAATCCATGTATTAGTTGCAATTTCTTAGTGTCATAGATACTGCCAGTTCATCAGCAGGAAAAACAAACAACACAACAAAAGAGAAACCACAATTATGGCATCTGTGTTGAACAGTTTGTTAGGGTTTGTATAATGGAATAGTGAAACCAGCACCTGGACGTTAGTGAGAAAACAGTCATTTGCTTGTATTGTAGGCAAACCTGCAGAAAATGATGTTAAGCTTGGAGCTCTCAAACTGAAACCAAATACTAAAATCATGATGATGGGAACTCGTGAGGAGAGCTTGGTAAATGTTTACTTTTGTTACCATTTGTCCCTTTAAAAATATGATTTATACTACACTGTTGAATCATAGTTCTAATTTTTGTAAAATTTTCAGTCTAGTGGTCAATGAAAAAGAAAAAGCTTGACAGTGAATGTGGCTTTAACTCAGCCAAAAATGAGTACTGGTGGCCTTTTAGTATTTAGTTAGCTCTAAATGTGGTCGTAACTCAAGTGCTTAAATTTAACATGGTAAATCTGTCCATGGGGTCACGTATAATGAGTTAATGTGGAAATTTTCCCAACTGTGTGTGCTTACAAGACACTTGAACTGAAATTGTACCTCACTGAATTTTTGTTATGCATGTATTTTCTGTGTTAAAACTAAGTATGATTTAACAAGAACTTTTTTTCTATCTTGCTCCAGGAAGATGTCTTGGGTCCCCCTCCTGACAATGATGATGTTATCAATGATTTTGATATTGAAGATGAAGTTGTTGAAGTGGAAAATAGGTATGTATGTATCACTTTAGAAGAGGTTAATTGTCCATGAGAAAAGTGAATGTTTCATCTGATTTTATGTTTTTTGCTAGGGAAGAAAATTTGCTAAAAATTTCTCGCAGAGTGAAAGAGTACAAAGTGGAAATTTTGAATCCTCCTAGGGAAGGGAAAAAGCTTTTGGTACTAGATGTTGATTATACATTATTTGGTAAGTCAGATAATAATACATTTCATTTTCTATATGTAATAGCTTTTAAAATTGTATTTGCAGCGCTTAGTAGTACAAAAGTGAATCATTTGTTATAGGACATACAGCAGAAAAAAAGAAGTTACCTATAATTCTGGGACCCAAAGATGAGCACTATTTAATGTTTTGAGATATGTCTTCTATAGTTTGTGTCTGCTTTCTCTTATAATAATGTTATCTTTTTGGTCATTAATTATTTGTTAGAAATTAAGTGTGTGTGTGGCCCAGCTCACAAACACATCATAATTATTCCCTATTGGTTAATGTTTAACTTTTATGAGAAGTATTTAAAAAATATTTTGTTACTTTATTCTTTGCTTTCTGTTTATATAGGGTTAATTCATAAATTTAATAATTCTTGTGTCTAATATTGACATGAAATAATTTACTGCTGTTAGAATCGTTTTAACATTAAAATTTTTGTTTATGTCTTAATATACTTTAGTTTAAAATTTAATTGTTAAGAGATGCTGTCATTGTGGTGAAATATGATATGTACATGATTGGTAACAAACTCAGTCTCTAAATTTCAGAGACTGTAAGAGACAGGAAATTTAGTTCATTCTGTGAAGCCTGAAATGTCATTTTTGTACTTTGAAGCAAAATAGTTGGATTGCAAGTAGACTTCAAGGGTAATAAATTGGAGGCTTTGAAAAGTATCTTTCTATCAGCTGGTACAATTTGGTCTGAAGCAGTTTGCAATTGAATGATAAACATATGATAATATGTTGCATTTCATAATTTCATTGATATTAACTGTTCTCCATGATAATAAATTAATGATCATTTATGATCAATTTCCTTTTAGACCATAGGTCTTGTGCTGAGACTGGGGTAGAATTAATGCGGCCATATCTTCATGAATTCCTCACATCTGCATATGAGGATTATGACATTGTTATTTGGTGTAAGCTATTGTTTGTGTTTTTGTATCTATAGAAGTAAGATGATTTCTTAAAATTATTCTCTTCTATAACAGTGACTTCAAATTTACTGTTTCAGATGAAGCAGTTTTCGTTTTGTCAGCAGATTTCTAAAATGGGGCATGTATGACTTTCTTGCATCACAATATAACATTTTTGGCAGATAACACTGTGAGAGTTAAGTGTTGTCGAGAGTAGGTTCTGGTAGCATAGTAAGAACAGTAGTTTTGTCTCCAGGGTCTCCATTTTGATTAGAGCTGCTTCTTCCTGATTCTTGCAATATGATCCTTTATGATTCAGATTGTGTTTTCTCCTTTCCTCTTGTGGTTTCAAAACACTTGGAGAAAGGTATGATTTTTTTAAAGATTACAGTCATGTAGTCCTCCCGAAATAAAGGTAATGTGAAAAATTAGTATCTAGACTAAGACACTATTGCTCAAATTGTGCTCTATGGTATATTGCAAGAATACACAAATTTGTAAAGAAATACTGATGACTCCAACAGATAAATCTGTTGTATCACCAAGTGCACTATTTAATGTGATTTACCTTTTTTTTAATGGTAGGATTTGGAGAGTGCAGCAGTGCAATGATTTATAGCCACCTCTGAGCAGATGTACATTCAGAGTGGCTTCTTGGAAGTGTCTGAGCAGAGAATTTTCCTGATTGTAAACCATCCCAAATTCCATCAACTAAAGTCTTTGATGAGAAGCCACAGAATTATTGATGACTGTAAATATCCATTGTGCAGTGATGATAGATCTATATAGCCATTAAGATAAAAAATATCACCAAAATAGGTTCTGTTTGTTTTTCATTTAAAAATATAGGGGAAATGAGCTTCCTGGTAACCAGGTGTTTGTTCAGAAACTCTGACCTAAGCCATTTGCGAGAAAAAATACTTGCCCTCTCAATGTTATTAAACAGGTTTAGAAATTTAGAGAAGGAGTGGGCATTTGGCTAGTGGTTTTTACAGCACTTAGATCCCCTGGATCATGTCTAGAGTATCTGCACTGGAGTCCTAACTGTGCTGCTGCTGCTGCTGTGCACTCCAGAAGACGGTTGGGTCCCTGTCAACCAGGTAGGAGACCCAAATTGAGTTCCTAGCTCCTGGCTCTGCCCTAACCATTGGAAACATTTGAAGAGTGAACTGGCTTATGGGAGATCTCTCTCTGTGTCTGTGTTTCAAGTAAACGAAATAAATATAAAGAAAACATTAGACCAACTTTTACAAGCAGATATTTAAAGTAGGTTTTTTTTTTTTCCTTTTAAGATTTATTTTTATTTGAAAGACATATTCACAGAGAAGGAAAGAGAGAGGCAGTCTGCTGATCTACATCCCAAGCAGTCACAGTGATGGAGCTGGACTGGGCTGAAGCCAGGAGCCAGAAGCTTCCTGGTCTCCCATGTGGGCGTAGGAAGTCAAGGATGCAGGCCATCATCCTCCATACTCACAAGCACAAGAGCAGGGAGCTGGAGTGGAGTGGAGCACCTGGCACTCGAACTGGCCCCCTATGGGGTGCTGGTGGCTCAGGAGAAGGCTTAGCTGACTACACTGTGGTGCCAGCCCTTAAAGTTGTTTATTTTTATAAATTAGGATATTTTGTGGTAGTATGCTTAAACAGACATGTCAGTTTGGTACTAAATAGATTAATTTTATTTCTGCTGCTGTTCTATGTTAACAATAGGCAAGTTATCTGATCTTAGTTTACTCAACTGACAAAAGAAGGTAACAATCTGTTTTACAGCCATTGTTTTAACAATAAAAATATTAGTGACTAGCATCATGTATGGCATAGTAATTCAAAACTTTATTAGCTGTACATATTTTTCTATTTTGTATGGGAATTACAGACACAAAATAGGTACTGAATTAGAAAAAAACCTGTATTTTCCTATGTTCGGACTGTTTTCATTATAGATATAGCAATATATACAATTTGGCAGGTGAAGTGATTATTTTCATGGATGTGTGCTGAAGATTTTTATTTCTACAAGTAACTCATTTGTCTATCAAATGTACATGCACACTGTAAATAATTGAGTTATTTTTCTCAAACACTTGCTTGGGAATACATAAGTAATGTAATAATTTGTGACAAGAAAAGGCACATAAAAATGAGGACAGAATTGTAGCTTTCGTGGCCCCCAAAATGGCTGAAATCTGACACTGAGCAGTTTTTTAACACCTTGCACTTCGTACCTGTTTCAGATTTGTTATGAGTAGTTAGACTACATGAGCTTGAATTTGCTGAGCTTGAAATATGTAAATTTTCAGTAAGCCTATGTAAATTTTTTAGTATGAACTTTTAAAAAATACATTATATGTGTGTATGTGTGTATACATGCATATATATACACATACATATATATACACACAAACATACATATGTTTACAGATATATCCATGCATTATACACACATACATATATATTTACACGTAAACGTATACATATATTTACATACAAACATACATATGTTTACAGATATATCCATGCATTTGATTTTATTTATTTGAAAGACATGGAAACAGACACAGAAAGATCTTCCATCTGCTGAATTATTCCCCAAATGCCTGCAACAGCTGGTCCCAGATCAGGTCAAAGCCAGGAGCCTCAAATTCAGTCTAGATCTCATACATGGGGTCAGAGACCTAAGTACTTGGACAATCACCTGCTGACTTCCAAGATGCAAAGTAACAGGAAGCCAGAATCCAAATAGAACTGGGACTGAAACTCTGGCACCGCTATGCAGGATGTTGGTGTCCTAAACAGTGCCTTAATTTCTGTGCTAAATATCCATCTTGAAGTTTAAAACCAACATTTGCTAGATTCAGAATTCTCTTGAGTGTTGACTTATTTGTGTTCACGGATAAAAATTTTATTGTCTTGAAGTTTCACTTTTCATATTTTAAAGAAAATTAGTATAACTGTGTTAGGCCACTGTTGTTAGACATTTAAACTTTGTCTTTGTAAAAAAATTTTTTACAATGAAATTCAAACTTTCCCATATGTATTGTGGTGTTCTTCATATTGTAGCTGCAACAAATATGAAGTGGATTGAAGCTAAAATGAAAGTAAGTATCAGAAAACGTCATTTAAAAATCTTTTCAAATTACATTTGCCTTGGTGTGGGACTGAAGCAACTTTATTTTTGATGCAAAATTTCACAATGGAAGGCAATAGGGAAATAAAATGTCAGAATGTAGAGTGGAAGTGCTTCTAAAGACTATTTAGTGATAGATTGTACTGAGTACCTACTTTTTTTCTTTCAGCAAAATAGAATAGCTAAGCTCTGTTCCCATTTCTCCCTGTTTTACCATAATGCTGTCTTCTCCCATTTTTACTCCCTGTGTAACTCAAGAGATGCTACTATTCTAAAGTGGTGACTTAGGAAGTAATCTCCTTTGAGTTTATTTTCCTGTGACTACCACTTTTTGGCTTAACTAAGTTTTACTGTTTTTTAGCAAGATAAGGCAGCCATTGGGACAGAAAGTTTCTACTATGGGAAATTGATGCTAGATTGAATGCCTGGACTACTTAACTTTATTACATTTTAACCTGATTTTTTTCTTTTTTTTTTTTTAATAGGAGCTAGGAGTGAGCACAAATGCAAATTATAAGATTACCTTCATGTTGGACAGTGCTGCTATGATAACAGTGCATACTCCCAGGCGAGGATTAATAGATGTAAGAAATAATGTTTTTCTATTTAGAAATGTATTCATGTTCTAGTTTACATTTTGTGGGAGAGTTACGGCTCAAGCCTTTTGAAAGCACACAATCCAGTAGGAATGGGAGAGGACTCAGAATACAGTGAAAGGTAAGGAAAGATAGTATTAAAATAATCAGATTCACAGAAGAGTGGTTTATGTACACAAACACTGGTTCAATATTACATCTATACATTTGGGTGGAAAAGTAGACCTGCTAACCTGTAAAGTAAAGTAATATGTTTAAAAAGTTAAAAAAAATTTTTTTAAAGATTTGTTTATTTTTATTGGAAAGTCAGACATACAGACAAGAGGAGAGACAGAGAAGATCTTCCGTCCGATGCTTCACTCCCCAAGTGAGCGCAACGGCTGGTGCTGTGCTGATCTGGAGCCAGGAACCAGAAACCTCCTCCAGGTTTCCCACACGGATACAGGGTCCCAAGGCTTTGGGCCGCACTAAACTGCTTTCCCAGGCCACAAGCAGGGAGCTGGATGGGAAGTGAAGCAGCTGGGATTAGAACCGGCGCCCATATGGGATCCCGGCGTGTTCAAAGCAAGGACTTTAGCTGCCTAGGCCATGTCGCTGGGCCCAAAAAGTTTGAATGTTAAAAAGGTATTTGGGAAATGTCAAGCACAGCAGTGTTTGTACTAGTGAAAACTTAAAAGAGTAAAAATAATCTTCAGTATCTAGTAATAGTCAATTGGATTTATGAATTGTTAATGCACGTGATAGAATGCAGTTATTTGTTACAGTGGACAGATTTTAGAATGTTCCTGACATTAAAGAGAAAAGTATTTTAGAGAGCAGTATTTGCAAACAATTAGAGACAAGTTTATAGCCATTATTTGGATCAGGATTTTCTTAACTAAAAGATCTATAAACTGTGTAAAGTTGCTGCTGTTTATTATTTAAAAAAAAAAAAAGCCCAGAGATAAATATATCAGAATTTCTAGTTTTCATCCTTGGTGCTGACCAGGTTACAGATGATTTAAAAATTTCCTTTGTGTTTTTCTGTCTTTTCTAATTTCCCTGTCAGTATGCTGTGATACTTGAGAATGGGGTGGTCCATGTTGATGAGAACAGAAAACTGAGCATAACTCCTAAGCTAGGCCTCTACGAGAATGTAGCCTTTCTGACTTGGAGTCATATACACTTTCCTCTAATCATATTCTTCAAAAATCGGATCCATCATATCAGTGTGTAATTGTACTTAGGAGGTGTGGTTCAGGAGTACAGTAGAAGTGAAAAAAAATTCAAGAAAATTTAGTAGAATTAGGGCCCGGTGGCGTGGCCTAGTGGCTAAAGTTCTCGCCTTGAATGCCCCGGGATCCCATATGGGCGCCGTTTCTAATTCCAGCTGCTCCACTTCCCATCCAGCTCCCTGCTTGTGGCCTAGAAAAGCAGTCGAGGACGGCCCAAAGCCTTGGGACCCTGCACCCGCGTGGGAGACCTGGGGGAAGAGGTTCCTGGTTCACCGGCCTTTGCGGCTCACTTGGGGAGTGAATCATCGGATGGAAGATCTTCCTCTCTGTCTCTCCTCCTATCTATATATCTCACTTTGTAATAAAAATAAATAAATATTAAAAAAAAGAAGAAAATTTAGTAGAATTAGAAATATGCCAGTACAATGTTTATAGTAGATAGAAAAATTCTTTTCTGATACTAAATTATAGGACAAGAAATGTTGATTGCTAGCCTTTGCAGTTGTTACTGTCATAGCTCATGGCACTACAAATGATATTTCATCCACCATGAAAAATAGTTTCCTCTAAAAAAAATTTTGAATGTGTCAAACATTCACACAACTCAAACATAAAAGAGTATGTATTGCCAAATTGTTTTCTCATCTGACTCCTCTGGCCATCCTCCTAACAGGTATTTCTTGTAAGGTCTTACTGAAACTTTATGTAAATACAAATAGATAGAACTAAGTATGGATTATTCTTCTGAAATCTTTATAATTCAGAAATAACAGCAATGATTTACAAAATGTGGTATTTCTGAAGTTAAGCAATTGAATGCCCTAGAAATGTTGTACCTGGTGCTTTCATGATAGCTCAACAGGCTAATCCTCTGCCTGCTAGCCCCTGCATCCTATATGGATGCTGGTTCATGTCCCAGTTGCTCCACCTCCCATCTAGCTCCCTGCTTATGGTTGTTGGCAGCAGAGGATGGCTCTGTACCACATGGGAGACGAGGAAGAAGCTCCTTAAGTTCCCAGCTTTTTTTTTTTAAAGATTTATTTTTATTATTTTTTTTTATTGGAAAGGTGGATATACAGAGAGGAGAGACAGAGAGGAAGATCTTCCACCCGATGATTCACTCCCCAAGTGAGCGCAACGGCCGATGCTATGATGCTATGCCGATCCAAAGCCAGGAGCCTCTTCCGGGTCTCCCACGCGGGTGCAGGGTCCCAAAGCTTTGGGCTGTCCTCGACTGCTTTCCCGGGCCACAGGCAGGGAGCTGCGGGGATAGAACCGGTGCCCATCTGGGATCCCGGGCGTGCAAGGTGAGGACCTTAACCACTGTGCCACCGCGCCGGGCCCCAGTTCCCAGCTTTGAATCAGCTCCGAACATTGGTTATTTGGGAAGTGAACAAGCAGAGTGAAGATCATTCTCTCTGTCTTTCCTTCTCTCACTAAATCTGCATTGCAAGTAAAAACAATTAAATCTTTAAAACAAAAGAAAAGGAGGGGAGGGACAGTGAACCAGTGCATCAAAAATCTTTGTCTTCTCTCTGTAAATTTGCCTTTCCAATAAAAAAAAAATAGATGAACCTTTTCTTCTTTTTTTTTTTTTTTGATTTATCTGGTTCACTCCTTCAGTGGCTACAACGGCCAGAGCTGAACCTATCTGAAGGCAGGAGCCAGCAACTTCCTCTGGGTTTTCTGTGTGGGTGCAGGGTCTCAAGAACTTGGGCCATCCTCCACTGCTTTCTCAGGCCATAGCAAGGAGCTGGATGGGAAGTGGAACTGCCAGGACATCAACCAGTGCCCGTATGGGATCTGGGAGCTTGAAAGGGGAGGATTCGCTAATTGAGTCATTTGGCCAGGCCCAAAATGAATAAATCTTGAAAAAGAAAAAAGAAACATTGCAGCTATATCTGAATTAAGAAGAAAACTAATCTTTTCTATATAAAATTTTAAATTAATTAAAAAGATCTAAGTACATTTTTTTCTCACTAATGTGTCTACTTTTTAAAGATTTGTTTTATTTTTTTATTTTTTATTTTTGACTGCTTGAGAGAAATTTTAAGTTACTTTAGAATCTTTTAAAATTAAACAATCTTCCCATGATCCAGAATCTACTAGTTAAATGGATTTAGTTCATTTAGATATAAATAGACCTTTACGAATTTTGAACACCACAAGTATAACATGTTTTATAAGTATATTGTTATTCAAACAAGGGTTTGAAAAGGGAAAAAGAAAAAAATAGTGTTAAATTTGACAGCTCCTACAAGCCAGCTATCATTGTAACAAGGAAAGCATTTTTGCATAGCTCTGCAGGTCATATTGCTGTGCCTCTGCTCTCAGTTACTGGTGAATTTGGAGTGATATTTAAAATTTTTTCTAAGGTAAAGCCTCTTGGTGTTATATGGGGAAAATTTTCGGAGTTTTACAGCAAGAAAAACACCATTATGTTTGATGACATAGGACGGAATTTTCTGATGAACCCTCAGAACGGACTGAAGGTAAGACAGAATTGTCCTTGCTGTATGTTCATTGTGCTCTGGCTATGTGATAGAACTTTAAATACTGTTGCATTTTGTCTGGTTTTGGAAGTGTGATCATGTGCTGTGCAACAACATTCCTGCCAATAAAATAGCAGTTTGTAATAGTGGTCCCAATAGATTATAATGGAGCTGGCAATTTCCTATTGCCTAGCAATTTTTTGTATATTATCTTTTAAATGTCACATGACTTTCCTATAATCTTATGGTTGCAGACAAGAAAAGTTTTTAAGTATTTAGAAAAAAATCGTATGGAACAATTTTTGTTTGGCATTAATATCCTTGGTTAGCCAAGTCATCCAGATATTTTATTTTTCATTATTTCTAAAGCTTGAGCTTACTTTACAGTATACTGACTTCTAGCATCAAAAGTGAAATCAAATATTTCAAGAGGGTTTAAATCTTGGAATTTCTGATGTTTTGGCTTGCTGAAGAGTTTGCAGTAAATTTCATTTCTAAAATTCATTTATAGGTTTTTGAAAATTTTTATATAGCAAATGTGGATTTTAGGATTTCAAAATTCTAGAGGTAGAAGGGACTGCAATCATCTTGGCTGAATCCGTTAGGAACCGAATGAGAAAGTTCATGATTTGCCCAAGATTGTATATGTAATTAGGTTAATGTCAGTGATGATCTGAGCCTGCAGTCACATGCAACCTAGTGTAAATATGATGGTGATACACATTTCAGATAGCAGGAGAAATTTCTGATTTAAACATTTCTGGTTTCTCTGTTTGCTTAGGAGTTGGCATATTATGAACATGGAAGAGATAGCTGTATGCTACCTTACTAATGTGAATGGAATCTTATTTGATATTTAAATCCTGGAGTGAAGAAATTTTCTTTCTTAGGAGCTTTATTGCCAATATAGGTTCTTGGTAGTTAGAAAAACTATATGTTTTATCTATGCAATGAAATCATAATATAAGAGAACTTAGTTAATTTAGGGAATCTCAAATTCCTAAAACTGTTTGCTTGCTATGAGACAATAAGATGATCATCATATGTTGACCTCCCTGCTAGAGATTACTTTGGAAAAAAATGCTATAGGAAATGATTATGGTGGACCAAGTGAAGTCAGTTAGGTGAATAAAAGATTTTTTGCCCTTAGTTTATTAACTTACAAAAATACCTATTTAAAGCAATTGAGTTTTGTTTAGTAGTGTTTAAGACTGGCGAGTTTCATTTAGTAGTACTTAAAACTGATAGAAAATAAAACCTAGCAGGGATTTGTGTTGAAAATCTTATCAGCCACTGACCCTGTATTTTCTCTCAGTTTTAACCCCTTCTTGCTGTTTAAACTTGGCACTTTGGCACATTGTGTATTATTAGCTTAAAAGTTAGTATGTTGTGCTTGGCGCCATAGCATAGTGGTTAAGGTCCTCGCAGGTTCTGTTCCTGGTGGCCCTGCTTCCCATCCAGCTCCCTGCCTGTGGCCTGGGTAAACAGTTGAGGACGGCCCAAAGCCTTGCGACCCTGCACCTATGTGGGAGACCAGGAGGAGCTCCTGGCTCCTGGCTTCAGGTTGGTTCAGCTTTGGCTATTGTGGCTCCTTGGGGTGTGAATCAGTGAAAGGAAGATCTTTCTCTCTGTCTCTCCCCCTCTCTCTATATCCGCCTTTCCAATAAAAATAAATCTTTTTTTTAAAAAAGCTAGTATGTTGTGTTTACATTCTTGAGTTGAGTGAAGGAATACTTTAACATCACCACAGGGTTCAGTGTTGTGCAGGAACTCCTTTCCCTGCATGGTGATATCATTTCCTCTGATGCTGCGTTCACTGTTCACTCGGTCCGTTTCAGTGTCTTCTTGCCCTCCCCCCACTCTGATGCTGCCTAAGTACAAGTGCTGGCTCGTAGGCAGAGTATGACAGCTCTCACTGCTGCCTTAGAGGCCGCATTGACGCCCCACTCACTGTTGTGGAGATGTCTGCTACCATGCTGGCCTCATGAGAGTAGAACATTTGGAATATTCTGTTTCAAGCTGGTAATTCCAGTCACCTACATGGGGGCAGGGGCGCAGGGACTGGTGCCATTGTTTGCCACTTTCCCAGGCTGTAAACAGGGAGCTGGATTGGAAGTGGGATGCTGATACACAAATTCACACCCTTATGGGATGCCAGTGCTGCAGGTGGAAGCTTAGCTTGTTATACCACCACCTAGCTTGTTATACACCAGTCCCTGAAGTTATTCTTTCTAAATGAATGCTTTTTATCACCATGTATCAATCTTAAAAATTTGGAAAGTATGGTTATTCTTTTTAGAAAACACTTATATAAAAGATTGAGTTACAGAAAGGGAGCAACAGAGGCAGAGTAAAAGAGAAATCTTGCATCTGCTGGTTCATTTCCCAAATGGCTGCCGTGGCCAGAGCTGAGGCACACAGAAGTCAGGAGCCAAGAGCTTCTCTAGGTCTCCCGCATGAGTGCAGGAGCCCAAGCACCTGGGTCATTCTCTGCTGCACTCCTAGGCACATTAGCAGGGGGTGGATCAGCAGAGACTTGGACCAGTGCCCATAGCAAATACTAGCACTGCAGGCTCTGGGTTAGCATACTGTGCCACAGTGCTGGCCCCCAGACCTTTTTAAATACAAATATATAATGACAGCTACATGAAAGTTTCATTTGAAGGTAAAATCATTAGTGTTACAGTTTGTCTCACTTTGTGGTTAAAAATAGCTCGTATTTGGATTAGCTTTTTGTGAATGAAATAACATGAATAAAATTAATTAAGACCAGCCAGAATGTCTAAGAAATATTTGCAGTATAAACAGACATTTGCATAGCCATATTGGGGTTCTAATTAAAGAGGTGGTAAGAGAATAGAAGAAGCTTTTATTTTGTACTATAAATGTTAGGAGTTTTTATTTATTAAACTTAGTCTAATATAAAAAATAATTTTTAGTATTGATACCCCTAGTGATATTTTAGCCTCATTAATCATAGTATTATTATAGATTGGTATGGATTTTTATTAATTTTCCTTATCTCAGTGTGAAATTGTGTTTGTTTTTGAACAGATAAGGCCTTTTATGAAAGCACACCTAAATCGAGATAAAGACAAAGAACTTTTAAAATTAACTCAGTACCTAAAGGAAATAGCAAAATTAGATGACTTCCTGGAGCTGAATCACAAATATTGGGAAAGGTAAGTGCTGATGCTTCTTCATTTTCTCTTTTGCCTTAGCAAATGAAAATGGGAGGGTGCCCTGGTGTAAGTATATAACTCAGTTTTTATTTAACCTGGACTAACTCTGAAAAGATTTTCTAATATAGTGAGGAGCCTCCTTAAAGTGTCATAGCCTGTAAGTGGTTCATAGGCTGCACGTTGTTAGCTCTGTAATGCTTCGTAGTAAAGAGGACTTCAGAGATGTGTGCCTGTGTGTGAAACTACCTGCAGGTTTAAGTAGGCTGTTCATTTGTGAATCACATGAGAATGGGATCACTGTTGTCAACATGTCAAGATTAAATACATGAAAAAATTTCTTGAATAGTGTTATGAATTACAGGTAACTTTATCCCACTGAAAAAATACTTAGGTTATTCCTTTCTGAAGATAACTATACACAAGTACCGTGTGTGTATTGGCTTCCAGTCTTTTCTAACCATAGATGTTTGCACAAATTTAAATATAAATCATGTATAAACATCAGTGTTTTGAGACAGAAGAAAACTTCTAGAAAGCAGAAGGGATTATTATGTACCATAAACAATTTTTTTGTTTTTTGGTAAAAGTGGGATCTTTAACACAGCAAATTATTTGTGTAATACTTGGGCTTTACAGTTTTCACTTTGGACCTTCTAGATCAGTTTGACACAGAGGTTTTACTAATGGATACCCTAATCTTTTTAGGAAGATAAAACAGCATTTGTTTAAATCCCCATCTTCAAATTGCAGATGACGTGTTGCTGAGTCATGGTGATAATGAATGCTTAGCACATTGCACAAAGTGAGCAAGTCACACCATCATAACTCAGCCGAGTCTCCTGATCTTAAGAACCCTTTCTACACCTCCGTCCTGCCAAGTTTAATGTATCTTTAAAAATGTGAGAAATAGAGATCAAAACTTCTGATTTAGTGGTAGATAACCTATTTAAACAATATGAAGAAGTTTAGTTTGTAAGTCAACAGCTTTTGCAGTTTTATGCTCTTGATCAGAATCATTTGTCATCTTTGGCCCAAAATCTTTATGTCAGGAGAGTGAGATCTTTGCCTCTTGAGTTGTATTTAGAGTAATGTATTTATGTCTGAGCATACTTAGAAATAACAATGTTAAATCTTTTCAACTTTCACATTTAGAAGAGAGGTAGAGTGGTGGTGAATGATACTATTCTTTGAAGTGTTGTTTTGAACTTGAACTCTGCCACTTTCTAGCTGTGTGAATTTGGAGAAATTGTTTAACCTCTTTGTGCCCATGAAATATGGGTGCTCACTGACAGACTCCTTAGAGCTGTTGTGAAGGTTCAGTGAATAATACTTAGAACAGCACTCAACACAGAAATAGTCAGCAGGTGTTAGCAATTAATAAAACTTTCTCTTCATCTTAGAAAGTTTGTCATTAACCATAAACTCTTCTTGGGGAGAGAGATTGTCATGAATTCAGCAAAAGACAGTTTTGACATCTTTATTTTGTTTCTTGCAGGTATCTCTCAAAGAAGCAAGGACAGTAGTTAGATGTTATGCTGGCAGTAATTGAAGATACCTGAGATCCATAAACTTTTTGCTTTTCTGCTAGAAATCATTATGATAGTGCTGGGCACTGAAGCAGAGACCAGATTGCTTATACATGGTCTTCCAGTTTTTTTGTAAATTTAATTTTATATTTTTTGAAGATCATAGAAATATGCTAAAAAAAAAAAATGCCTTTTCCCCCATGTGAATATCCTTATTCTTGAAAAAGATTTTCTCCAGCACTGATTGCTCTCTCTTTTTTTATTCCCCATAAAGAAAAGTGAAGAAAAATGTATGATCAGTGATGGTCATTTGGTGATTTTGGGAACAGTTTTGCATTTTTGTGTCATTTTAATATTGTCTAACTCTTAACACCAAACCCATCTTGAAACTAATGCTTTTTCCTTTTTAAAACCAAAACAAAAAGAGATTTTGGATAAAGAGTGTAGTTTGTTATGCTTAAAATAACCAAGAATTTTTTATTCTTTTGTCATAGACCAAAGTTCTGTAATCCAGCAGTTGCATCTCTAAAATCTGATGCCTCACTGTATATGTGTCTGTGTTCTTAAAGTAAAACTGGAAAGCATCAGTGTGTGGTACAGCTCTGTTCTGGTATGAGAAGTGGAAAACCTAAGGCTGAAGAATAAAACCAAGGCACATGAATATATTGCCTCTTTGGTAACTAAGTACAAAGCACTTCTGCCTAAAACCATTGCCATAAAAGCAATTAAAGGCAATACGTTTTATATCACTACTTCAACCCTAGAAAGCATGAACAAAAAGATTTGATCTGTTCCAGTTATATTTGTCTCAGTGTTAATACTATTTCAGTGACAATATCTAGCCATATTACTAAAGATATATATTATTTGCAATGCTTAAGGCTGCACATATATAATGTGACCGCTGTTTTGTGTTAACAGTATTGGCTTTATACAGTTCTTGTATTTGAAAGGAGTCGATCCTTTTAAATAAACATGGTGTATATTGTTCTTTGGGGACTATTTCAGTGGTGTAAATAATAAATATGTTTTCTTAAAACCTTGGTTTTCTGTTTTATATTACCCAAGATTTTCTGTCTCTGTTGAATTGTGAAACAAATATTTTCATTCAAAGACCTTAATAACATTAAATGTGTATGATATTGAGTGCATATAGAATTGGATTTAACAGCTTATTAGGTGTAAAATTAATTGTGGAAAGGTGCTGTATTTTCAGAAATGTATATTTTATGGCAGATTAGAAACATGTATTTATTTATTTATTGAAAGCCAAAGAGAGGCAGAGACCTCCCATCTACCGATTGAAGTGGCTAAAATAGTTTGCCTTGAGTTTAGCCGAGCTGAAGGCAGAAACAGGGAACTGCGTCTAGGTCCTCCCATGTGAGTGACAGGGACCCAACTATTTGAGTCATCACCTTTTGCTTCCTAGGGTGCACATCATGAAGAAGCAGAAATTGTGAGCAGAGCTGTGACTCAGACCCCGACATTTGGATTCAGATACAGGAGGTCTGGTACAGGACGTGAGCATCCTGAGGAGGGCTGTGACTACCTGGCCATGTCCTACTGTAAAAACTTCTTCCAAAGGAGGCATGGAGTGGCTCTAGAGAGAGGGCTTATTTTTGAGAAAGCTGAGCACTCCAAAATAAATTATTAGCATTGGTCAAGAAAAAACAGACAATTTATTAATCAGTATAAGCTAAAACACAAGAATTACCAAGCCTCAGGAAGCAAAGTAGGATTTTTAAAAATATCTTTCACCATTAGGTGGTGCCCAAAGCACAGTCTGTTATTTAGCATGTGTAATTAAACCACACTGAGAGAACATGCTCTCCTTGGTTTATTGAGATCTCACGTGCTGTGTGTGTTACTGTTACAGATAAGAGAGTTTCTGGTTGTCTTCTGCAGCTTGTGGCTTATTGAACAGAGGTTTAGTTCAGATGAGTGTTGTACTGAAGCCACAAGTTATTTTTTATTGTTAAATTTTTTCATCGTGCTCCAAATATTAAAAAGCTAGTAACTAATAAGGTTTATGAGTTTTTCTAGTTTAAAAAGTACAGATGATCCTGAAATCTGACTGAAGGATGGTTTGAGATCTACTAGCCACGCTGGTCCTTGTTACAGAAATTGAGTTAATATCACCTGTATCAGTTGCTCAGTAGGCAAAGAGTAAATAGATTGTTATAGTATACAATGTATTCTTCAGTTATGGAAAGTAAAATAGTCTTTTGAGCAGTGGGAAACATAGTTGTTCAGGGATGTGAACTGGGAAAGAAGTATAAAAATTTCTTATATCTTAGGTTTTTACAGTACCACTGAATGGTAATAAAATTTAATAAACAGGATTTTTTTTTCTTATCCCAAGTAATAAACAGAGCTCTTGTCTCAAGGGATAAGTTGTTATGGTTTCCAGTGAAGTATTTATACATCAAAAAATAATCTTATTAGCTAGAATAGCAGCTTGAGAGATATTTCTAAAGATTAAGTGCTTAGTTGTTTATTTTGAAATTGCTTTGGGGGAGGTATCTTGGTTGTTATGGGTATACCGAGTATTTAAAACGTGAGAAGTCCATGGAGGTTTGGTTTATAAATTTATCAAAGACTTGTTCAAAGTTTATACATTATTCTCTGGAACAAATGGGTAACCTGTTTCTAATTAGAGATAGGAATCAATTACTTAATATCAGTGAAGGCCCATATAGAATGTGAATTTTTTTTCAAGATTTATTTATTTTTATTTGACAGGCAAATTTTTACAAAGAGAGGAGAGATGAAGAGATCTTCCATCCTGTGATTCAGGATGGCCACAGTTGCCTGAGCTGAGCTGATCTGAACCTGGGGACTAGGAGCTCCTTCCAGGCTTCCCACATATAGTGCAGGGGCCCAAGCACTTGGGCCGTTCTCTGCTGCTTTCCTAGGCTGTAAGCAGAGAGCTGGATCAGGAATAAAACAGCCAAGAGAAGAATTGGTGCTTAGGTTGGCGTGATGGTGCAGTTGGTTAATCCTCTACCTGCATGTGCCAGTTGATGAAGCAACAAAGGTACTTGTCACATGTTACCCTGTTTGGAGTGTGTAACTATTATTGAGCAGTATCATTCTTTTTTTTTTTCCTTTTTTTTATAATTTTTTTAATTTTTTGTTTTTTTTGTTGTTGTTGTTAGAGTGGTATCATTCTTAAAATCCATAGTTACCAAATAAATAGTACTAAAAAGCTTTCCTTGAGTGTGTATTTTACAAATGTTACCTTGGTTTTCTAAGAGTTCTAAATAATCCAGGAAAAGAGTGAAGAAACACTTCTCATAGCTCAGAACATTTTTTGTAGGAATCTAGATGCCTTCAAATCTGCAAATGTCACGTGGTAATGATCTGAATAAAACACATAGCCATCCCAGATCCCTTCCCTGCTACCAGCCCCTGTCCCCAGCCACAAAGTAGATAGAATCAAAACTTCTGCTGTGTTACAATACATCTTGCAAAGTGCAATCCATTAGCATTTTTATTATTTTGGGAAACAGTTTTTCACAGCTGAAGGCTTGCTGGCTTTTCCATGCAAGTATCCGGGAATTGTTGGGGCTCAGTGAGTTAAGCCATCATCTGTGAAACCAGCATACTTATATGAGCACTAGTTTAAGTCCCCGTTGCTTCACTTCTAATGCAGCTCCCTGATAATGTACCTGATAAAGCAATGGAAGATGATCCAGGTACTTAGATCACTGCTACTCCCACGTGAGACCGAGCTGCTACTGTAGGCTGCTCCTGGCTTCAGCCTTGCCCAGTCCCATCCATTACGTGTTGATTGTATTTTAGCTTATTCTGCAAAATTTGCCTTATTATATCTTTCCCAGAAAAACACATTACAAGCAAACAAACCAAAAAACATCATTGCTATTTGATGATTTTTCTTTTTCTTCTTTTTTTTTTTAAGATGTATTTTAAAGTCAGCATTGCAGTAAGAGAGGGAGAGCTGGAGAAAGGGAGGTGGTGGTGTGGTAGCATGCCGATTCCCACCACACAGGATGAAGGAGGAAGATGGCATGGCATTTGAGCTGAATCCTGACTGTGAGAGCTGTTACTGAGAATGTTATGGAAAGGAGCTAAGAGCCAAGTGCAGATCTGTAAGGTAGGATCCGACAGGGCAGATTGACAGGGCAACAGTGGGAGGTAAGCAGTGATGTGGGGCATGGGGTTGGCCAGGTCAGCAGATACCTTCTGCAGATGACACTAAGCAGTCTGCTGAACTCGAAATGAAATGGGAAGAACCAGTGGAGAGTTTAAATTATTAGCTTAACAACCTCTCAAGACACCAAAAAAATTCATCCGCTTCAAATGTGCAATTCAGTGCTTTTTAGTATATATACCAAGTGGTACAACCATTATCATCATCTAATTCTAAAATCTAAGTTGTTTTATAAAAAATCATTTCAGGGGACAGCGCCATGGCTCATTGGCTAAATTCTCACCTGGCAAGCACTGGGATCCCATGTGGGCACCGGTTCTAATCCCAGCAACCCTTCTTCCTATCCAGCTCCCTGCTTGTGACCCAAAGCCACGGTTGCTGAGGGCTTTGTAGTGGATGGCATGCCCTGACGGCATACTCGTGGGGGACATGACAGCCAGTCCACTAAGGTCTGCAGAGGACATCTAGTACCATAGAAGGCAGAACAAATTGGACAGCTCTCCCGGAAAAGTATCTGGGTGAATTGAGACTCTAAGGAGGACTATGTCAGCCAGTGGACCTTGGAAAGATTTTTCTCAACCTTGGAGGAATGAAATCAGCAGCATCTCAGAACTAACAAAACCGCATAAGCAGTATCCTCAGAACATGCTCCACATCGGGGACCCTGGGGTGACATCGGGTGGCCTTCCCCCAGCCCTGGATGTTGATGCAGTTGAGTTGCTGGGAGCGGTCCTCTCCTCTTCTCTCTCCACTTTCCCCAGATACCAGAAGAAAAAAGGAAATTGGAGGCAGTTGTCTCATTCTTCAACCCTCCCAACTCTAATTGGTATTCCACATGCATCCCTCTCAACTGTGCAAATATCAAAAAAGAAAATGAATTTTATTAATTAAGAAAATGTGGTCTGTGAAAAAACTGTGCATGGATCTAAAATATTTTGATACCAAGTAAAGTTTTATTCCATTATCCATTAACTTTTTGAGGCATCCTCATAAATGTGCAGGAATGGGTAGACAGGTTCACTGACGCAGATAGCCTAGACATCATGTTTCTTTTTTTTTTTTTTAAGATTTATTATTATTTTTTGGAGAGGCAGATATACAGAGAGAAGGAGAGACAGTAAAAGATGTTCCATTTGCTGATTCTGGGTCTCCTGAGGCTTTGGGCTAGCTCCTTCTTTCCCAGGCTACAAACCGGAGACTGGATGGGGAGCGGAGCAGCCAGGACGCGAATCGGTCCCCACATGGGATCCTTGTACATGCAAGGTGAGGATTTAGCTACTAGGCTATTACACCAGACCCAAACATCATGTTTCTGTACTTAAATTCATTCTAAATTAGCAGATGTGAAGATAAACAAGCCAAAAGAGAGGTGCTTGTTTAATGCCATTATTGTAAGCATTTGCTTCTGCTTAAATGCTTCTAACTGAAATGATTATAATGACATATCTATTTCTCCTTTTGTGCATCCCTGCTTGGTAATTCTTCAGTTCACCTTTGCAGGAAGCTATTTTGTAATAAGACAATATTTTAAAGAGAAGATTTGTGAATGCAGTGGGTGCTTTAGTAAACCACTGCAGTTGTATATCCATGATATAGGAGAGAGATTTTCGTCCATTTCTTTAATGCGTGCTACTTTTAATGTAATAGTAAATTGATTTGTGTAGCTTACAAATAATTTCGCAGGAGAATAATAGGTGCACAGAAGCATAGCTCGATGCTGTGAGTGGTCTCCATAAACTGACACTCTGAGAGAATCCTGAGAGCTCAGGAGGGGAGCATGGTCTTCTGATTACCCGGATGCCAAAGAGCAGCAAATCATGTGACAGGAAGTGCTACAGTCTGGTGCTTCTCTCCACTTCTCTCAG